CCCCGGTGTTCCAGGGAACTCACCAAGTGTCAGAAAAACACAACCCTCTCTATTTCCTCCATACCCAAATCTCTAAAAAAGGGGCTGCAACGGATCTGATAAAAACTGATCCAGATTTGAACACTGTCCTGGACGTCAGGACGGTGGCGCTACGGCTATTGGGCCAACTCTCCACCTATCAGGGGAATGTGGGGTTGGGCCACGGCCGGCCATTGCTGCTCGAAAGCGCTGGAGACGCTGTAGTACATATGCCAGGCCTGTAAGTGGCGCTGTAGTCTGCCACAAAAGCAGCGAAGAAGACTTCCCGTGCATGGTTGCCATGGTTACCCTTCTGTTTATTCTCCGCTGTGGCTTTTTTTCTCCCTCCCCGAGGCAAGCGTTTGCTCCTGCTGCTGTATGCAATCCCTCCCCATCGAGGCAAGCGCTGTAATTCTCTCCCGGTTAGTCCACCAGCAGATGACAAAACAACCCACCTCTCCGCCTCTTCCAAGGAACGAGGGGACCGTGCGGCACAGTTTCAGGTTTTCTTTCAACCGGTCAAGATGTCCGTTAAAGTTTAAATCTTCCGGACAAAATTAGAAAAGTGCCGGTCAAAGGTCTTCTTTGTTATTATTGAGCTTCAAAACAAATGAATAACGACTCTATATAATAATATAATAAAACACGGAGGACGGAGATCTATTTTTCTCCCCCTCTTCTGACTTGATCAGAGCACGCTCCCCTCTCCTGCAGGGGGGCGTGGTCAGCTGCACCTCACAGAATCAGCCCCCTGCAAAAACAGGGCTGGAGAACAGCAAATAGAGCGAAATGAGGCATGGCTAAAATGCATGATCTGTTTGGTATTTTGAAAACAGAAACGTATAAATATACCTTATATAGTTATGGCCCTACAATATATCATTTAAATATAGCAATGATAGGGTCCACTTTAAGTTTGTGTCAATCACTTGCACGTCACTTCTGGTATGATGGGCATTCCCTTTCCGGTTTAATTCTCTAGTTTGTTAAAGTGTTTCGGGAAATGTTAAAGTGTTTCGAGACTTGTAAATTTGGTCTCAGTTCTTGTAAAAAGTGTTTCGCTAATGTAATTTTGTTTTATAAAATGTTAATTTGTCTCTAGCTTTGTAAAAGTGTTTTGCAATCTTGTTAATTTGTTTTTGTTAAAGGTAGGGTAGGTACATTTGAGAAACCGGCTCGGGATCGCTAGAATTTGAAAATACACAACCGGAGAAAATCTGCCACTTCCTTATAGAGCCCCTCCTCCAACATACACGAACGCGCACATGACCAATGAGGGCACGAGATAAGTTTGTGCACGAGATGGAAAGGCTGACAGGCAGGTAGGCCATCCAGTTATTTTAGCCGGGCCGGCTAAAATGATTGGTCGTACTTTTTACAGTACTACGGTTTCCACAGATGACATTTTTTTATGGATTTTTTGTCAAAGCACTTAACCTCTTAAGCACGGCGGTCCCCCCATTGGACCCCTCCCACTGTTTTTTTTTTTTCGAGATAATGTCTCAGGGCTTCTTAATATTTATGAAACTATTAATGTGTAGCACCAGATTAACGGGAAGAATCTCAGCTAACTGAAGATATGAACCATTTTTACCAAAACAAAACACAAGTCTCATAAGAAGCGTCTAAATGACCCCTGAGCGAAAAAAATTCTAAACGCACTGCGGCACACAATTCAAGATAAAGAATACCCTTATTACTTATCGTAGCTGCACATACAATATAGCCGATTAAAGCTGAGACTCCACAGTTTATTTAGGTATAGTATCATCACTGAGCGATCCGAACTTGCGAAAGGAGCAAACACAGACATCACAACACGTACCTTTACGGAGCTTTTACGGCAGATCGTCCTCACCGTAGCTGTCAATTAGGTCAAAAGACGTGTTCAATGGCATTAAAACGAAAAACAAAATGCTGGCAACTGTTGATCCATAGGTTGATAATGTACCTGTGCCTTTGAAAAAATTATTTATAATCCATAATTCCATTTTTATGTAAAATTCGGAGCGGAAAAGTTAGCTGCTAATGGTAGCCACCAGAGTGTATGCAGCTTCCGGTTTTGGTAACGCGTCACTCTCACTCCTTATTTGTTAACGTTTTGGTGTGTATATAACTTTCCCTCGATTCCATTGGCTCTAGCGGTTATAAAGAGATTTCATTCATCAAAATCGAGCAAGGGGGGCCAGAGATAGGTCAAATCCACCCAAATGACCCCAGAAGTGGGGTTTTTTGGCTAAATCTTGTTTTGCATCAATCTTGATACAGGGTACTTATTATATGTTGTACTTTGGATTCCTATAGCTTTTAGTCTACTAACCCATCATCCAAGGGTAGTTTTCACTATAAGTAAAAAAGAATATTTGGACGGACACTATAATTTACAGTTTTTTACTATGTAAAATCTGAATTTTCTTTAAAATAAAAAAAACATCTATATTGATTCTGACTTTTCTACATCCAACTCACAGGTTTATCATTACTTTGAGAATAAAGATTATTAATTTAACCCTTTTAGAAGGGAAGATATGGTCATTTGTTCTGGGAATGTCATTTTCGAGCCTGAGACCTGAAAAACAGGCTCAGGGCTTAAGAGGTTAAGATATTCATTGCTATCGGCATGTTAAGAGCATTCCATGGAATATAACAAAAAGTGTATCTCGAGCCGGTTTCTCAAACTTACCTACCCTACCTTTAATGTTAAATTGTTTTTTCTTTGGTAAAAGTGTTTTGCTAATGTAATTTAGTTTTATAAAATGTAAATTTGTTTTATAAAATGTAAATTTGTCTCAAGCTTTGTTAAAGTGTTTCACACTTTGTAATTGTCGATTGCACCTCTCAGCCACCGTACAATCTACCTGCATTGCAATTACTCTAAACGTGTAATAACGTGCTTTAACCAGTAGGTGGTTTGGGTTAAAAAGCTGTCAAGTTTACAGTGTTAATACAATAAAATATACTGCTGTTTCCGGTTTAGTTTACGACGGATATATTTTGTTATCCACAGACGACCACACATATATTGTTTTGATATTTGTAACACAAAAGCGATGGGAAAAACCCACAGCAACACAGAAAAGATGGTCTTAACATGACCCAGCTGTCTAGTTAATAAAAAATAATAACATCAAACAAAATATTACTATTACATTTATTGTGAAATTAAAAAGAACGGTAAAAGAATAGTTTCCGGTCTATTCTGAGGCCCGATCTCTGTAGATAAATAAAGAACTAAGCCAGATGTGTAATATTTAATGCAGCCGAACCATTTATTACAATGCATTAATGTGATGACTTTCAAAGAGTAAAGCAAGCACTAGCTGATCAGTGAAAATGATTTTATCTTTTACGAAACGTTTTTTTTTTATATGGAATACAGTCGGAGGTCAACCAATCACAGAGCTTGAGGACTAATCACGGGGTTTGTCGAGCAAAGCACATGGTGTAGTCTCAAACGATAGCTGAGGATAATGGGTAGTGTAGTGTCTTCGGCCATCCTAAACTACAACTATTTGTTTCTCAGAGTCGAAGGGGAAAAAACACAAAACCATTGTACACAATTTAATCAATGTTGTGTAATTAACAAGGATAATCTGGTGTTTTTGAGTTGATGAGTAGTGCAGATATCACTGTAAAATCAATCGACAGTAAGGAGAATACTTATTTCCGGGTGTAAAATTCTCCGTTATCCAATGGGAATGGACGCTCACATTGCCTTTAACTGCCGCCGACATGGACGGATGCGGTGCTTCCCTGAGCGTCTAATACCGCTGCAGATGGGAATACATTGCAATCAGTTGAAAGCTCTTTGCGTCCATTTATGAAGCTGAAGGAGACTCGGTGCGTCACAACTGCATGCCAAAGGACCCTGACCAAGCGTCGCTATTGGACTATCAGGGAGTGAGACTGTGTTGCTACGACACAACAAACCTCCTTATACAATATCATAACCCAGGACAAGAATCCCCCCCAACACCAAAACCCTGGTAGAAAAGGAAACTATGGTGTACATGGTCAGAAAAAAAACGGTGAAAATAACAATAATACATTTACAGAACTCGTCTCTCATTAGAATATCTCCCATGGATGTTTTGGGATTTTGAAGACTGATATCTGTGAAGGTTGGCTTTCCACTCCCTGAAGGCTTCCATTGAATAAGATCTTACATGAGTTCATATTTGGCGCAGAAACAGTGATTTGGGCACTTACTGACATGGGGGATGTTTTCATATGGAGTAGCCCCCCCAGCGGAGTTCACCCCACTGTGGTCTGCCCTGAGCAAATCTGTGTACAAGTCCAGACTCAACATCTGGTTCTTTCTGAAGTCCTTAAATTAAAGAAGAAAGTTGTAATTGCATTTATGTCCTGGCTTCTTTCCAAATGTAAATGTCCCCTCTGCGGGACGAATAAAGGTATTCTGATTGTGATTGTGATTCTGATTATGAAACATGCTCGGATTTAAGCTCCTGTGGCTCTTTCTTGCATGAAAGATCAAAGCCCCTGCCTTTTTAAGTCTTATTATCATTACTTGATGATCAGTTGTAAAATGGAGAGACTTACCAGGTGTTCCACAGTGGTGCTGGGCTGCATGCCTCAGAGACAGGGACACATCTCAGAGGACGCCATCCAGGCCAAGAAACACGCCTCCCTGACAGGTGAGGGTGAGACGGGGGTGCACCTCCTTCTTAAATGTGAAACCTCAGTGAAATAAGGAACAATTATTCTGATTTTGCTCTGCAATCCCAGCTTTCAAAGGACCCGTTAAGGCATATCATGTTGCCCAATATGTATCAACATGATTATTTTTACGCTTTGGCAACAGCTACCTGAAATAGTCATGCAAAGATAAAGCCCCAATAAGAAGTGAGACCGAGAGAAGGAGAGGGAGAGGGGGGCAGTGGCAGGGGGAGTGATCTGCACTATGTGAAGTGCAGAGGAAGTCACAGTGCGGTAGCATATTGACAGAGGAAATAACGGACACTATGCAGCCTCCACCCAGGAAGGTAAGGTACTGCAGTCTGATATAGAGTTTATATTAATGTAAAGTTCATATTCATATATGGTTAATTTCAACACTTTGTGTCTTACTGCTTTCATCATGCTTCTATACACTTGTCTTTGAAAGTCAATACTTATATGTATAGCAACATCTTTACAACAGCTTTGAGACATAGAGATACAGTAGGTTACATATGTTCATGTTGTATACAGTATATACATATACTTATGGTATTTGAAATATTGAGTTTTGGATAGTAGATATATTTTCTCCTCCCTGCCAGTATTGAACATGTATTGTGTCCCATTGTTTGAATGCTTATTAGAGGACATGAAGCAACTCTGCAAGGCTTTTGTGAAGGTTTTTAAATGAACTTACTGTAAAAGCTCATTTCATATTGTAAGGTATTTCAGACCTTACAGGCTTTAGAGTTAGACTTAATAATATTCAACCTAACTCAAACGTATTGCCAACTGTGTTGCATGTACAGGAAATATAGAGGATACAATTTGTGTTCTCAGACTACAGGTTGTAATACACACTGTGTTCTTTCCATATATGGATAAAATGAAAGCCTTTACTTTCCTTACTTCAGAACACTCACTGAGTCAACAGTCTCATTGTAAAGGCTTATAATTAAACAAACTAACTCAAGATTCAAAGGTTTTATTGTCATATGCACATAAGCTACAGTGTAGAAATGGCAATGACATTCTTCTGACCTGAGCTCCTCCAACAATGCAACATATATAATAAAATACAAAAATACAAATAAAAGATTGTGCAAGAAGTCTACAGTATATACGTGTGAATAGAATATGTACAAGAACAGAATATGAAATTAAATAATGTACATTAAGACAAAATTAAATACGGTTTATTGTGGTGATAACTATTTATATAAATAAACTGATGGAATAGTGAAAGAAGTTCTCCCACAACATTGACTACCCTAGTGTGTGTGTGTGTGTGTGTGTGTGTGTGTGTGTGTGTGTGTGTGTGTGTGTGTGTGTGTGTGTGTGTGTGTGTGTGTGTGTGTGTGTGTGTGTGTGTGTGTGTGTGTGTGTGTGTGTGTGTGTGTGTGTGTGTGTGTGTGTTGTGTGGTGTGTGTGTGTGTGTGTGTGTGTGTGTGTGTGTGTGTGTGTGTGTGTGTGTGCAGGTTAAGGAGAGCCAGCAGATGAAGTTGGTGTTTTCAGAACAGCTGAGCAAACTGCAGGGCAAACAGCATCAGGACACTGAGCTTCTGGAGGAAATCAGGTACAATTGTTGTGACATTTTGAAATGCCTCCATTGATTCTCTGAGAAATGACGTGTGTGTCCCCCCCCCCCCCCCCCCCCCCCCCCCCCAAGGACCTTCAGTAAGCAGCGAGCAGCTATAGAGAAAGAGTACGGTCAGGTGAGTACAGAGGGCTATTCTAGTCCACTATTAGTCCTGTTACTGGAACCATCTTTTTTTACTGGAAATGCTCATGATTTATTGATTTGAGGTCCAATATCAGTACCTGAGTGCTGTGTTGTGACAGAGTGTTGAGTGTGTGTGTGTTGGTATATTAAAACACCAGGGTTAGGCCTTCACGACTAGACACTCGCAACAGTCAACAATTTGAGTGTTGAGCTTTGGACTTTTCTCACACTCAAAGATCGCCATATTGGCTATCTGAGAGGCGAGGACATCCGTGATTGCTGGTGCTGTCAAATAAAAGTGAATAATGTTGGGTATTCTTCACTATTTATATAAGTAGGACCATACTGTTAGAAGTCATCCTAATTGTATTTGGTTGATGAGGAAGTCTGCAGGCATCATGCACCTTGAACAATAGTTCCTAGCTATCTAACAGTGGCGATCGTCCTTTATGGTAAATGCTCAGCAGCCGTGTTCGGTTTCAACAGAGCTACCCGGTTAACATCCAGACACTGCTCCATTGTGTTCCCCGAGTACAACATGGAAGTGTAAAAAGGGAGGTGAGAGGCAGCCTCAGATGTGCCAAGTTCTCACTCTCTGCAGAGCTTCATGTGTTGTTTGCATCATGGTGGAGAATGTGACACATACTGTACATAATGTTGAACTTAAGATGGTGTGTGGTTACAAAGACATGTTAGATCACACTAAGTCACTACTACTAGGTAGTATTATAAAATACTTAAAATATCATATTAACAGATAGAGTTTACAGTTTAGTGAAGGAGAGTTCAGAATGAAAAGCATTGTGGGTACTTCACATCACATCATCATGAGCTGACTGCACTGATTTCATGAAAAAGCCCAATGTGTGTGTTGTTTGAGACACTAAAGAGTTTCTTCATTTGCAGGCTCTTCAGAGGTTAGCTGTCCAGCACCAGAAAAGAGACTGGCAACGAGGAAACACAGATGCCACCGCCTCTGGGTACCACACACACACACACACACACACACACACACACACACACACACACACACACACACACACACACACACACACACACACACACACACACACACACACACACACACACACACACACACACACACACACACACACACACACACACACACACACACACCGTAGCCTTCTCATCAGCAGACATGTGTTTAAAAGCTGCATTGTGGCTATTACCAATATAAAATACTAGTAGCATAATATAATTTAGTGTGGTTTTGGTTTATGTTCCTATTAGTTCTTCAAAGATCGCAATCAGTTTCATTCATTTACTGAAAGGGGATCACTGAGAAGTGTTGAGTGCACTTACAATGGTGATTGTCAGTTCATTGGTGTTGGTGTGTGTGCTTTCAGGAGTGTGTTTGGTGTGTGGCGGTCAGTGGTAGATGCTACAGCTCAGTCTGCCGCATCGCGACTAGCTGCTGCAGAGGAGTACCGCCGCCTGATTGGACAGGTCTCCAGAAGTCTTCGCAATGCAAAGGACATCCGAGCTAAGAGAGTGAGAGACCTGCACAGATTACACATAGTGCTCAAAAATATGAAAACTCTTAGGATCTGTTTAGTTGCATTTCATCATTACAACATACTGAAATTACTGTTTCTATTTAATTGTCAAATACATTTGAACCAAACCTTTGACATGTATGCAAATTGAGTGCGTTTACACCAATTGGTTTGGAGAACATAAACGTAGCTACACCGTAATTTCCTCAGAAGTTGGCTCTAATGGCTGAAATTCAAACGTTAAAGGAGAAAAAGAAGTTGAGAGAATCACAAACAAGCTTTGCTAATTACCAGAGAAAAAATCTTTTGGAATGGGTTTACATTTGGGAAGTTCGAATTGATATTTCATGTCAGTATTAAACGTATTTCATGCTGTCTAGAGAAGAAGACAAATATCCGTGAGGCTGGCAATTAAATGTTCTCCACGTCAGAATGATACAAAACCGTTTTTGCAATTTAGAGTAAGAAGATTTCATCAAAATGTTCCTTTTAAAAAAAAATGTGATTACTAATATGTGAATACGAAAACGGTTGCTGTGTGTGTGTGTGTGTGTGTGTGTGTGTGTGTGTGTGCGTGCGTGTGCGTGTGCGTGTGCGTGTGTGTGTGCAGGGTCTGGAGGGGCTGCAGAGGGTCCAGGGGGAGCTGGTGGATGCTCTGAGGGAGCTGCAGCGCTTCAAGAAGAGCTACCACCAGCTGAGTCACATCACCACTGTCGCCAGAGAGAAGTCAGCTGATGCACAAACCAGGTCACACTGCATCCGTGAAGCAGTATAAACAAAAATGACTTAATGTTAATTCATTAGAAGATAAGTAGCTTCATTTCAGTGTAAATATGTTGTATTTGAATATGTCTGTCAGGGCCAGAAAGAGTGAACATGGGATCTTCCACTTTAAGACAGGACTACAAAAGATGACTGCTAAGGTATGAATGTTATCACATTTTGTATACAGAAATTAGCTACTAACACAGACCAAATTACCATTTTGTCCTGTTTGTACCCTTGATCTGATGTTTGAATATTTCCATATATAAACTGTATATGATATTCCATATAAATGTGACATAGCGGGTCCTATGCTGCAGGGGAGGTTCTAGGGGGGGGGGGCAACAGTGGCCAGTGCCCCTGTAACACTGACCAGGGACCCCCCCTCCAAAAAAAAGGTTACAATATTACGATTTATTGGAACTAAATGAAATCAGAGACCCGGATGTACAGTGGAGATTAAACTGTTCATTACCTTGTAAAATTGTCACTTAAAGTTACTAAAACAAATACTCTAAATGAAAAAAACTACTGAAACAAAGAACTGTAACTTAAATTTACTAAAACAAATACCTTTACAAAAACAAATACCAATTACTGTATTTTATGTTTATTTTACACAATTACTTTATACTGTCTTTGTCTTTTTAACCCGCTTTTATTGTGCCCCTCTCATGAAATAACTGGCCCCAGCCTGGCCCCCCCAATACAATTGGTCTAGAACTGCCACTGCTATGCTGATTCATTTGGAATGCAGAATCCTGTACAATACCTAAAATGTGACAACATTTGCACTTAACCTGATTACAAATGTTATCAAAGTCCAAAATGTAATAACTTGACCAAGAATCAAAGAACATGCCCTGGCTATTGGATTTGAAATGAAAGAATGACTAGAAGGTTAACGTGCATATACTTTGAGCAGCATACATCAAATGAACTTGAATAGAATCTCCTTTGGTCAATTATGTGAAGCTAAATAACTCTTATCTGATTATACATCCATGAGCTAAATATATAAACAAAAACTCAACACTAGCTCAACACTGCATTTAAGTTTTCAATCCCCCAGGTAGAGCGCAGGGATTTGTAGTCTATCTTGTAACAATGTTGTAGTCAATCCTGGAATAATGACGGCTGGGTCTGTAATGTGATGCCACTGCATGGGTTAGAACAAGATCTTTTGTTTAATTTAATTTGTGTCCACTTGACTGTCTCCTCCATGATTTCCTGTTTGTGTTTTTATCATGTTTTGCTGCCTATTAGCGTTTTATTTATTTATTTTTTAACAAATTGTACGGTGTCCTTGGGTGTCATGAAAGGCGCCTAAAAATAAAATGTATTATTATTATTATTATTATTATCTTCCCATATATCTACAATGTCTGTTCCTGTCTTTACCACATACAACAATTTCATAAAAAGTTCATTTAAATGTAATTATATCTTTTTATGAGAAAATGATTTCATCATCAGCTTTAAAAAAAGGAAATTACCCATTCAAAATCTATTTAATTATCAGAAAATAGTTCATGGTATTTATTTAAATAATTCATGGTATTTATTTTAGCGCTTTTCCAAGTGCTAAAAGCGCTTTACATTACATATTACATACTGTATATTACACATGTAATACATTGAGTGGACAAAACCCACAGGAGCAATTTAAAGATGGTTATATGTTGGTCCCTTTTGCATTAATAATGGGTCATATTTGTTGCATGTTTCACTTTAACAAAAAAATACAATCAATAGGCGCGTTCACACCGCAGTACTTTTCCCACTTTAGTTCCGATATAGTTCCGAAATGTTGCGTTCACACCAAAAAAATCCGGAACTAAAATTAGTTCATGAGAACCTTTTTACCCCCTTATCTGTACTTAGTTCATCAGAACTAAAGAGTTCTCATGAACCAATCAAAATGTTCCTTTAAAAAAAAATGTGATTACTAATATGTGAATACGAAAACGGTTGCTGTGTGTGTGTGTGTGTGTGTGTGTGTGTGTGTGTGTGTGTGTGTGTGTGTGTGTGTGTGTGTGTGTGTGTGTGTGTGTGTGTGTGTGTGTGTGTGTGTGTGTGTGTGTGTGTGTGTGTGTGTGTGTGTGTGTGTGTGTGTGCAGCTCAGCGCCAGGTTGAGGGAGTGTGACGATCGTCTGACTGAAGCTCGTAACGAGTATCTGCTGGCTTTATCAGCAGTCAACGGCCATCACCAACACTACTATTCCAACGACTTACCACACATTATGGAGGTAAAACACTCTCACACACACACACACACACACACACACACACACACTCTCACACACACACACACACACACACACACACACACACACTAAAAAGGGAAGCTGTAAATCTGATAAAGCACTGACTTTTACAAACAAAACATATCACACCCTTATTCTTATAATTATCTTTCATAAATTACACTGGTAAAAAGGTCCACAGCTGATTCGCTGAAACAATGTGAAAAGTGTGTGTGCAGTACATTTTAAACCTATTAACAAGTTAGGAGAATTCTGGTCTTAAATGTACACAAAAGAGGCCCTTTAAAGATTTATGGGTATTTGATGAATTATCAATTTGTTCTTAGCTCCACTAAGCTATACTACAACTGCATCCGTTCAGCAAACCTGTGTTGTACAGTGACAATAAATGAACCTTGATAATATGTTAAAGCATTATTAGGTGAATATTTTGTGAAAACGTTATTTGAAATATAAAAAAATGACTCATGACTCTCTATTTCCCCCCTTAGCAAATGGACGGTGATGTTTATGATGACTTGAGAGGCCACTTCACCCTGCTGTGTGGGACAGAGATGGACACTTGTCTCAGAACACACAAACAGTTCAGCACCATATGGGACAGTGTTGCTAAGGTATAAGTCCATGGAGTGTTACATTGAAGTTATCATAACTCTCAAGTTTAAATAACCAAATAGTTGACAGTAGGGATGTCCCGATCACCTTTTTTTGCTCCCGATCCGATTCCGATCATTTGATTTTGACAATCTGCCGATACCGATTTTTCCCGATCCGATCTTTATGCAATGCATTAAGAGAAAAAAAAGGAGAAAAGCATTCAAGTTGTCCCTTAAACCCCACGTTCTCCACCACAGATAACGGCTGGTCATCCAACGCGATGAATTCAGCTATCTTGGCTGTTATTTTTTGGCCTTTTCACTGTTCTGGGGCAGTTTCTCTTTCCTTTTAAAAGTCTCTGAAAGTGTTGGTTGTTGGTGTTTGTTTCTCAGGTGGCGTATTAGATTGGTCGTGTTGAACGTAGCTCTGTTCTTTCCACCACGTGGAACCTCCGCCTTGCAAACATTGCATCTGGCTGTTACACTGCCTTCGCTTTCAATTTTATAATACTTCCAAACTCCTGACATTTTCTCTGTCCCGACTCCCGAGTCACCAGCTGAACGTAGCCTCTCGTTAGCTTACTGCTACTATTAGACACTGCGCCCACTCTGTTGCCAGATTTGAGAGAAATAAGCAACCAGGTCTATGAAAACAAGCCCAAAAGAAGCAACACATACATGATGTTGTGTAATTTTAAACCAAAACTAAGGCCTCAGGATGACTTTAAGATGTGAACATGGTCATTTTTGTTTTGTAACATTAAATAAAATAAGAAAAATATTTTATTAAAAAAAAAAAAAAAAAAAATCCCGATTTTTTTCTCCCGATTCCGATCTTTTGAAAATCACGTGATCGGCTCCGATCCCCGATCACGTGATCGGATCGGGACATCTCTAGTTGACAGCCGTATTGTAGGTTCTCAAATCAAATCGAATTCTACATGCCAAGTATCCCACGGTGCCCTCTGAAAAGCCAGACATAAGACATGTCTCACTTTGCTCTGAAAAGACGGGGGTGGGGGCAGAGGGGTCACAGGGAGGTGGGGAGACGGGAAGCAGGAATGTGGAAACTTGGAAATGAAGATAAATTAAACATGAAAGAAAACGTTGAAATTAAGGAGAACAATTTGAAGATATATTTTTTTAATCTTGAGGGAAAAGAGCGGAGCAATAGCTTAACAAGTTTGTTCAAGTTTTAAAAGGAACAGAAGTTTACAGATTGAAATTCAACACATACTTAAAATGTCTGCACTAATGTAGCAGCTGAGTGAAATCTGAGGTTGAAGATGCGAGGGGGAAGAAAACATTTTACACCTTGGTTTTCAATTTTGTAATGTTACAAAATAATGTTGAGTGAAATATTGAGATTTTGTCCACCCACCTCTAAATATTTGTCTTCAATTGGAACAGTAGCAGGTATTGGTTTGTTTGTAACATTCATTGGTTGCTGTGTTTTCAGGTGACCAGAGAGAGAAATGTGCTGCAGTTTCTCCAAGAGTCTGTCTCCTTCAGCAAAACACCTGAATTCACCTTCCAGCCCGCTCCAGGTGACAAGGTGTGTGTGTTGGGTCTGTGTGTATGAAGTCTCATCTTTAGCATTTAATTGTACCTGCCTTTTTAGTGATAAAACACATTTTAAATCGGCTCTTTTGTGCTTTTTATGGGTTTTCCTCTCCTGTTGTGTGTTAAAGGTTTTTGTGCATGTAAATGGTCTGCAAAGGCTCAAATCCCTGTGTTCCCTCCAGAGGGAGTTTATCTCCCTTTCACTCAGGACTTTAATTTCGTTGTTTACTTCTGTAACATAGTGACATCGCTTTATAACACTTGAGCTTCTATTGGCTAGCGCTCCAACACATTTTAGGCTAAGGGGCGGGACATCTCTAAGCGGTTGACCAATCACAACAGAGCCGGCCAGCTAACCAATCAGAGCAGGCGGGGCTCTGGTTTCAGACAGAGGGTGAAAAGAGGTGCTGCAGCACATGCAGTATGAGAAAAATAAAGAGCTTTTTGAACATTAAAGCAAGGTCACAGTAGAGACACTACATACTGATATGAACCTGAAGATGAGCAGAATAGGGCACTTTTAAGTCAAAAAATGCATTTTCATAAAATATCATAATTGAGTTACATTGCACGGGTCCATGTGTGTGCATGGAGGGGTGGACCTAATCACCTTGATAGTATACATTATAATATATTGCAGTCCAGTGCAACATCTGTGATATAAAATACATACAAATATTCACAGAGGCTGTTGTATTGACACTAAGCTGATGTATACTGGAACACAGAATAGAGGGATGTGTGACTGTGGTGTGTTCAGGTGTCCACTCTACAGGAGCTCAGCGCTTCAGAAGCAGACGGCTGCCTGGTGAGGGAGGCTAAGAAGTGGGCTACAAAAGCTGCCAAAGACTACAAGATCATCACACACGGAGAGAGAGTGAGTCTTTGTTCAATTATGATTATTATTTCCTGATTCACGTGATTTGGGCAGGCCATACAAAATAAATGTATATTTACCTCTTTCTATGTTTCTCTGTCAGGCTCTGCAGACGTTAGAGAGTCGGTTGAAGCTCTTATCTGGGGACACGTGCCTCAGTGTAGAGCAGAAGATAGCAGAGGTGCAGGACAGTGTGAGGAAAGCCAAGGTACTTGATTCACCCTAAACACCTAGGCTATTTAAGATGACCATTAGTATCCCTGAGGGGGAATTAAGTTCTTCAATCTGGTGTTATTTTACAATGACATACTCAAAAAGCTCACGGAAAAATCTCATGCAAATTAGAGACTTTACCGTCATCCTTCTCTATACAGCGCTGTACAGGTCATATATAATTTAGGGTTAGGGTTAAACCTAACCTATATTAGGTTTGTGTGTGTGTGTGTGTGTGTGTGTGTGTGTGTGTGTGTGTGTGTGTGTGTGTGTGTGTGTGTGTGTGTGTGTGTGTGTGTGTGTGTGTGTGTGTGTATTTGTGTCTAACTGGCTGTCTTCCTCTCAGCTAAGCAGGCTGAAGGCAGAGGCTCGTCTGGCTCTGCTGTCAGACTGCGTCACAGGAATCGAGCAGTGGCTTCACAACGCCATGACCCAGGCAGAGGAGGAGCTGGAGAGGGAGAGACGCCTCAGTGAACAGAGGAAGTCTACTGAGGACTTTTCAGTATGCAAACTCACACACACTAAATCAATTTAGTGCCCCATTAGTTATATAGCTTATACTACTATTCATCGGAGCACCAAGTGATTTACTAAATGTTTTGTAATATGGTTATTGTGGGTTTCGAAGGAGAGGGAATGATCGATAATGTCACCAATTTTAAGGATGGGTGTGAAAGCAGGAACAGTGGAGCCATCAATACAGACATTGTGGCAGAATGTAATGAGTCATTTAGGTTCCAATTGTTCACTGTTGAGTTTGTGGAAGTTAGATTGTATCCAGGTTTGTATAACTCTTAGTCAGTTTGTGAGGCCAGAGTGAGTGGCCTCAGGGATAGATTTGGTGGAGCTGGGTGTCGTCGGCATAACAGTGGAAATAAAGGCCATGGTGGGGTATGATGGGACCAATGACTGGTTTGTAGAAAACAAAAAGGAGGGGACCAAGCACTGAACCTTGGGGAACACCTTGAGAGGCTGGGGCTGTGTAATATAGCGTTCCCTCCGGACGCAATGTGAATATTTGCATCGCTCTAATCGCTCTAATCGCTCGAGTTTCAGCACGGCTGTCAACTGTCTTTACTCGCGTCATTCAAACAAGACGCGCTGGTGAGGGGGCGGGGCTTATATCCATGTAGATACAAAATTATGCCAAACTAATAACATACTGATACCGGTTTGTAAAAACCATGAATTGAAGCTTTGACAAGTGTGCATACAAGACGGCAGGCTAAACACTTTTAAAATGCGTGAATGGAGATCGGATCGATCAGGCTAAGCTAAGGTTGTAGCTGCTCCGTCCACACTCACAACAACGTCATACAGACAGAAATAAAGCACCGACTTTTCTCCAGTTTCTGAACAGATATGTGGAGCTGTGAGCTCTAAGTGCTAACACCTAACGGCTGATATTTTGGTTTTCTGATTCAACGTCAGTGACGGCAGGCTGAGATCCTCACTGCTGATTGGATTACGCAAGAACACTTCACGCAAATGTGACGCTCGAGTTGAAAAAACTTGAGGGTCTGATGGTGCGTTCACACCGACGAATTACGCAATTTACGCGAATGATGCGAATGACGCGACTGTCGCACCAATCGCATAATTCGACGGTGTGAACGCACCATCAGAGTTAGATGGAGCTTTATGGCAAAAATATTTATATTATATATATTTGCTGTTATATGAACTCAATACCTGTTGATAGAAACATTCAGGGTAGGATTTGTCATTTTCGGGGATTTATTGATTAAAAGACAACATATATTTTTTTCAGACATTTCTTAAAAATAAGATCCTGTCTGAAAACATGAAAACCATGGAGAGATGAAAACATTGTGGTTGTAATTAAAATATCATTCTTAAATTTCCTCGGCGAGTGAGGTGGGTTGTGGGTCTCTTATTTAAAAAAGAAAAAGGTGACAATCATATTGAGAAAAATATGTGAGATACCTTGCCCACTCTCACTGATGTGTTTAATGTGTGTTTTTTTAGGAGGATGAGTTTGAGCTGACTGACTTTGAGGACTATGATGATGAGAACGGAGACATCTTTGCAGACCCAGTGTCAGCCTCTGGAGTGTGTATCTACCCGGCAGCCTGCAGAGTTATCTACAACTACCAGGTAGAAATCAGATTATCAAACAGGCTTTATAAGTGCTTATCGTCAGACATTAACTGTGCCTGCTCAGCTGTAAAGTAGCTGCTCACCCCTGTGAAACTCCTGTATTTTGTGTCCCATGCAACACATGGGACGTCCTCCACCTTTGTGGAGCTTCTTGTTCTTACATCCCCTGAACTCTGCCTAGAGATCCTTTTCTTCTTGAATTCCTTTTTTTGGTGATCACTGCATGGATAGATGATAACATCTACAATAGGGTTAGTATGCTGTACTAACAGCAGTGGCTCAGTCAGTAGGGGCTTGGACTGTGAGCCGTAGGGTTGCCGGTTCAAGTCCCCGACCAGACCTAAATATGGAGTGTGGACTGCTACTTGGAGAGGTCCTAGTTCACCTCCTGGGCCCTGCCGTGGTGCCCTTGAGCAAGGCACCGGACATCCCCACAGCTCCCCGGGAGCTGTACAATAGCTGCTCACTGCTCCTAGTACTAGACTCCTGGTACTAGGATGGGTTAAATGGAGAGAACAAATTTCACTGTGTGTGCTTTGTGCTCTGCATGTGTGACCATTAAAGAGGGTTTCATCCCTCCAATTCTATAATTCTATCTCTACTCTAATGACCCACATGCATATAAATGATGTCCACGAATATCGCCCCTTATATATTATATCAATCCAGCAAGTTGGATTTAGATCTTTTCCATCTGCAAAAAAAAGTAGATCAAACCTTCTTTAATTTTTGAGTTAGGGCTTTACACGGTCCCATTTAGATCTTCCTACATGCTTGGGAAATCAACACAACCACAAAATTATCAAATATTTAAAATGATAACTTGATTTTTCTATATTATCTGTCATGACAGTTTAGGGAAGTAAAGTGAGGTACCAGTCCAGAAAATGTGGAGAACCCTAAATTACATAATAATGAAATCAGTGGGGTGAAGGAGAAACAATTATAAATCAGCGGCTGCCGGCAGATTAAAAACCATTCTTCGTAGTTTGATTTGTCTAAATAGAACATATCCAGCATGTTGTAAAAGGACTTGTTTATCGTACACAGTGTTGATCTTATTTGAAATCAGTGGAACCTGTTGGTAAATTCAGAGAAGATACAGGATGCTATATATTGAGATTTTCAGAGATTATATAGATTATATTATATAGAGATATAGAGATCATTTGGAGATTTATTTTTGCAAATGTAGTAAACCAAGGCCATAGACAGTTCTATATAATTTGTAGTACTGTAGGTGGATCATTTTAGAAAAATTGATAATGAAAAAAGCATGTTATTTCCTGTAGGCTAGCCAGCTAGATGAGCTGTCAATCATTGAAGGGGAGGAGCTTCAAGTGGTTGAGGATGGAGACATGGAGGACTGGCTGAAGGTAATATCATGTTCTAACCTTAGTTATCCGAGAGAATAAATGATCTCTCTAATCTGTTACATATTCCATATGCCTCCTGGAACTGGTCCCAGAGCAGCCTGAAATCAGAGGCCTGTACGACGAAGCCGGTTCAACATAACCTGGATATGTTTGAGTTACCCGGTTTACCTAATCCAAAACAAACGCGCTCTCGCTAAGCGGTCCTACGATGCTGGTTATCAACTCGTTAACTCAAGCCAGCTTTGCCCTATATAGTTAGGTGCGCGTTCACATGAAAGGGGTGGTATTTGGAGCATTCGACCAATCACAAACATGCAGGGCCGCCCCTCCCTACAGGCCGATCACGCAGACTGCATGGGGCCTCACCTCGCGGAGGGGGCCTCAGCTTGCGGAGGGTGCTTCATTTTGCGGAGGGTGCTTCATTTTGCGGAGGGAGCCTCATCTGAAGTGCAAATGCGGCGCACCTACAGTGTAAGCGCCTTATGAGGGCCTCATCATATAACTTTGCGTGGGGCCAAAATCGTATATTTTCTGCACATCCATGACATCGTTTCACATTGTGAGGTGACACAGAATCGATGGGTACATACATTATCACTCCATGATACGAACTCGCGACTTTATAAACAAAAACAGACATCAAAATATGTGGCGCTAGGTAGCTAAAAACGCTAACATGGCTTACCTGTCTCGTAGTCTGGTCAAAAGTGGTCTTCAATGGCATTAAAACGATAAAAACGCTGCTGAAGTTAATCCATAGGTTAATCCAATGTGTCTGTGTTCCTTTGAAATGATTTCTGATAATCCATGAGCAATAAAACCCCCATTTCCACCCAAATCACCTCAGAGGTGGAGTTATTTTTGCTAAACCTCTCTAAAAAGGTCAAATGTCACTTGTTTTGCATCAATCTTGATACAGGGTACTTATTATATGTTGTGCTTTGGATTCCTAAAGCTTTTAGTCTACCTTACCATCATCCAAGGGTAGTTTTCACTATAAGTAAAAAATAATCTTTGGACGGACACTATCATTTACAGTTTTTTACTATGTTCAATCTGAATTTTCTTTAAAATAAAAAACATCTATATTGTTCTGACTTTTCTACATCCAACTCACAGGTTTATCATTACTTTGAGAAAAAAGATTATTAATTTAACCCTTTTAGAAGGGAAGATATGGTCATTTGTTCTGGGAATGTCATTTTCGAGCCTGAGACCTGAAAAACAGGCTCAGGGCTAAACAGGTTAACAGGTTTATGATATCACTGCCCCGTCTAAGACACGAGTGGATCTGACTTTAATTACATTTGACTCGAGTGTTTCGTCAACTTAATGTGTTGCTTAAAATAATACTTCTGCATACAGTATGTGACACTGTGAGTGTTGCACGGCCAGATACGGCTCAAGAAGCTGACTGAGATAAGGAAATAGGCCTAGGCTATATGATACATTATGATGTGATATGATATGATATGAATGATAATGGGACACATCGCCGTCTGCACTCACAGTGCCGCGGACTGTACTTAATGTTACTTTGATCCGGTTGCTTATGTTGTGTCAGATATTTAAGTAAGCTTTCTTAACGCTAATGTTATAATAGTCAGATTGCTCTGAAGATGGGAGGGGATATTCTATTCATTTCACGTTCACACAGTCGGTGATTTTTGCCGGCCGTCTTTCCTGCAACGGCAGTTTTTCTGTATTTCCTTTCTCCTGTAATATGACTTGATCGCTTTAAACTCCGCACACTGAGCTCTGATTGGTCAGCAGGCGGTGCTTTCACTGACTTGATCTCTTAGCCTGCAACCTAACCTGCTCCGGACCAGGTTAGCCGCTCAGCATAAGTTACCATGGAGATCTAGCCCGCTAAGAAGTGAACCAGCGTTGTAGGACCGGAAACCCCAAGTTTTCCCTGAAGTTAGCTCGCTAGGCGAAAATCGTACAGGCCTCTGGAGACTCTCTTCTTTAAGGCAATTAAGGTTACAGTGTAACCTTTTCTCTATTGTATCTACACTTTGTTACATATTCCATTTAAAGACATCTCTTAAATCCTCTCCACACCTCATTGGGACAGCCCTTGATAAGGGCTTGCCCAAATGACTGGATTTGATACGGATAAATAACAACACTATAGGCACCACAAACTGCCTTCATCATCATCACTATCCAGCAGACTTTCCTGTCTCTAGCTCGGTCGGCAGAAAGGGGAGGATTTTCTAGGCTGTTAGCCCTGGAGGTGTGGGCAGAGAAAGTTAGGACAGCAGAGTGTTGTTTTCAACTTTAATACAGTGTATTTAGTCTTACAACAAAGCTTATGCCTTTTTGATGACTCAGTGTTGCAATGCAATGAAAGACAAGATTTTAGGACGTTACTGTTACAACCCAGACTAGCACATTACCTGGTGACCGCTATCGCTCCATTCAGGGTCTTACCACCTCAGGCATATACTTATTCACATCAGAGATGCAGGCGACCTGTAAATCCACTTGTTGTCCACTGTTGACTCTCCTTGTCTCTGACCAGGACAGGCCTCAGCAGGCCAGTTAGCACAGGAGAATTCCTCAGACATATGGAATATGTAACAGCTGCTTTGCTGTTTGTTATGTCATATCAGGACATTATCAGACATTTTTACACGGCTTAGTTGAATACTAGATTCTGATTGGTCAATTCAGAACACGTGACACATTGTTAATACAGTAGTACAGACCGCTGTTAAGGACTATAATGACCGTGGGTGTTTCTCAATCGCGAGTAAAGCTGCTTCAGAGCCACTATTTCAAGCATACTACGTCATCGAGTGCCGCCGAAGTACTGTTCCAATCTCCAGCATACTTGGAAATCTACCGAGCCCGGCGTACTCCGTTTGGAGAAATATCGAGGCTGCACATGAGTAGACTCCGCGTCCTTAAAATCCCCACAATGCTTTGCGCACGGACCAATTTCCCCAAATCTGTGATGGAAAATGTAAGGCGGGGCCTCTCATATGACGCACACCTGCACACTTGCTAGCCTGTTCCACTCTTTGTTTTCCGAATGCCAGGAAGTATTCTTGCCTCGCTTCTGAAGCAAGATGTGCTACCAAGCAAGCGTTCTCGCGATTGAGAAACACCCCGTTGCTGAGGAGGATCAAGGGAGAGAAAGTAAAAGAGGTTAAAAGGCGGAGTGCTGGACGTCAGATAAATCACCAGAAGAAGGCAGACAGGAAGTAAACACTAACAGGAACACGGTATGGGCTCTGCAGTGTGTTCAAGGACTTGTTAGTGGATCAGAAACTGTGAACAGAGTTGGACAGTGCTGCCGTAAAGTTGTTGTTGTCGCAGTTCCAGCCGTTGGTGCGCCGTGGAACGGATATATATTTTTTCTTAGCGGAAGAAATACGATCACTTTTAAGTCAATAAAATAATTTCAATTAATATTGGGAGTTGAGTCGTTAGTTTGTTTAGTATCTGGCCGTGTAAAAAGAAGGATAATGTGCAGCGACTTGGTCATTATGGGGAAAAGAACACCCTTCAGGCTGATCAGGCAACCCTCGCTGCACATTATCCCATACTTATCAGCTTTCAAGAGCTTCTACTTTGAAGAGTGCATGTTTTCCAGTGTGTAATCTCATCTGTATCTCTGTAACACCTGTTCATGTGTCCAGGTGTGTAACTCGTGTGGTCAGGTGGGGTATGTTCCTGAGCGCTATGTGCAGTTCCTCTGTCTACCAGCAGAGGGCGCCTCTCATCTCGAGGGTTCTTTCAGCTCCATCTCATCCAGCGGGACCAAAGAGAGGGCAGGGAGCAGAGGTGTGACAACTTTGATAACCCCACAACAAGTGATTTTTAAAATGTCATGTGCTTGTGTGTTTTTCATCCAGTTTGACTTGAATCCTGTGTTAGGTGTAGCCAGAGCTCTGTACTCCTACCAGGCCCAGAGTGCAGAGGAGCTGTCCTTCCAGGAGGGAGCGCTGATCCACCTGATCCGCTGTCGACACGCAGAGGTGAGCGCACTATGTACCAGCGAGGGGCCGAGGCCTCAGAGAAAAGCAGTCCTCTTCTTCATTTAGACAAATAATCTTTGCAGACTTCAAAACCCCACAATCCATTGGGTGTTTCTCAATCGCGAGTACGCTTGCTTGGTAGCACATGTCTGCCGAGCATCTTGCTTCAGAAGCGAGGCAAGAATACTTCCTGGCATTCGGAAAACAAAGAGTGGAACAGGCTATGCGTCATATGAGAGGCCCCGCCTTACATTTTCCGTCACAGATTTGGGGAAATTGGTCCGTGCGCAAAGCATTGTGGGGATTTTAAGACCGCGGAGTCTACTCATGTGCAGCCTCGATATTTCTCCAAACGGAGTTAGATGGTAGATTTCCAAGTATGCTGGAGATTGGAACAGTACTTCGGCGGCACTCGATGACGTAGTATGCTTGAAATAGTGGCTCTGGAGCAGCTTTGATTGAGTGATTGAGAAACACCCATTGTGTTCAGAAAATGTCTTCACTTCTGGGCTAGTCCCTGTTCCACACCATTTTGTAACTCAACTGAATACACATCACGTATTTTTCACAAGATATATAAATACTTCAGACTGCAGGAGTTCCTGAGGTTATGTTGATGCTTGCGCTCGAGACTGTTCTTTTAGGCACGCTGTATAACTGATCTTGTGAAAATGTGAAACGTTTATTTGAGCTTCCTCCCTACTTTAAAAAACATATTCGTACTTGAAATATGCAATGTGTGTGAGGAGTTTGTGATTGTTTGGCTTAAGATGTCTCTTTCTACCATTTATATAGCTTTGATCTCTCCCTCGCTGCAACCAATGCAATTATCTTTATGCTAATGAATGTGCAATCACATCACAAATATGCCAATGATCGTGTCAGATCCTCTGGCAACATCAAGCAACTTTTGGAACTAATGCTACATTTGTTGGAAAAGATTTTGAAGCACTCACTGTTCCCAATTTGGAAAAGTAGGTGACTGCCCCCTAAAGTTGGAACGCCAACTGGGAAACAGATCAACATGTAAATTTGTAATATATAAATAAGTAATCCGAATACAGTTACAGTTACGTGTCTTAAAAAAGTAACGTAATCAGATTACTTTTAGATTACTTTTGGATTACTTTATTTCTCCATCACAGATGGGTATGTTTTGGTGTACAGGAGACACAAAAAGCAAAAGGAAACTGAACGTGTTGTTACTGTTTTAATGGCTTATCAAGAGCACAACTGAAACATAACATCTGAAACGATGTAACAACATAATACACTTTTTGGGGATGCAGCTTGGGATGTGAGGAGTGAGGGACACGGCTTAGAACGGGCGTGTCGCCTTCTGTCCTGTCAGTGTTGGCAGGACATGAATTAAAATGTCGAACTCGGACTTCATTTTAAGGACATTTCGGCCACGGGTGTAGAGCTATATTTGTTTAAGCACCGGATTGGGAAAACAGGAGAGTGTGTGCACCAGTCTGCCTTGATCTATGAATTCATGTCCGTGACACTCACAGTATCTGCTGCCCACAGCTGTTTTATAGAAGGAAAACCTCCTTCACTTCATGAAATCTCTGCAGCACCAGGAGGCAGCGGGAGGGTTAACTCAGCCTCTGAGAAGAGGAGCGCGCAGTGCCTTTCACGCAACGCCTTCACTGTGTTTACCTTCAGAATCATTAGAAAGGCTAAAGAGCGACCGCAGGCTGATGTGTTTTAACCACACACACCTCTACACACACACACACACACACACACACACACACACACACACACACACACACACGATTTAAACGCAGACTTTTGTTCCTCCATGTTTTGTTGTTATTGTTTCACTGAGTGGACCCGCACATTTTGTTCAAACGCTCCCTTTTTTGGTCCATCTGCGGCGGTAATAGGTTTTGTGCGCTGTGATGATTCGGCTGTACCTTTTGTAATTAATATGAAATGTTGTGAGGAAATCTTTCCACCAATAATTCCAATAAGTAATCCAAAATGTATTCACTTCAGGTTTACGAAAGTAACTGTAATCAGATTACTCGATTTTTGTATTCTGATTACGTAACGCCGTTACATGTATTCCGTTACAACCCAACCCTGCACATACATTCACCTTTTACATACATATATTTTCACTCTTATGGTGCATTCACACCGGACGCGATGCGATGTTTGGGGGCGGCGCGATTACATGTAAAGTCAATGCAGAGACGCGGGCAGACACGAATTCGCTCCGACGGCGAGCATGAAGCGGTGGACGCGGCGCGAATCACGCGATCGAGGCGATTGAACGGTGCCGCGTCAAATGCGAGAGTTCAATTTTTTCAACTCGATCGTCAAATTCACGTGACGCGTTCTCGCGGAAGCCAATCAGCGGTGAGGATCTCAGCCTGCCGTCACTGACGTTCAACCAGAAAACATCAGCCGTTAGCTGTTAGCAGTTAGCACACGGAGCTCACAGCTCCTCATATCTGTTCAGAAACTAGACAAAAGTTAAACAAGTACAAACCATAGACTGTCTGTGTCATGGTGAATACAGTCGCTGCTTTATTTATGTCTGTAGGCCGTTGTTATGAGTGTGGAATGAGCATAGACAACGTTAACTTAGCCTGGTCGACCCGATCTTCATTCAGAAAACAAGCATTTTAAAAGGTTTTTCTCCTGCCGTCTTGTCTGCAGACTTGTCAAAGCACTAATTCATGGTTGTTACTAACCGGTATCAGTATGCTGTTACTTCGGCATCATTTAGAAACGTGTATTACAATTTAATCACGGTAAAATATGTTGATTTTGTTGTAGTTGTAGCTCCCTAGCCAGCGCGTCTTGTTTGAATGATGCGAGTAAACACAGCTGGCAGCCGCGGTGAAACTCGAGCGTTTAGAGCGATGCGATAGGAGCGATTAGAGCGAAGCGAATATTCGCATCGCGTCCGGTGTGAACGCACCATTACACACATACATTCTCCTTTTACATACATATATTTTCACCCTTACACACATACATTCTCATTTTACATACATACATTTTCACTCTCACACGTATATATTTACACTCACACATTCATACATTTTGCTCTCATATTATCATATTTCAATACACACATTCATATATTGTCACTCACATATTTATACATTTTTCACTCACACATATACATTTTGCTCTCATGCACATTCATTCAATGTTTACATGAAGGCAGGTCATCATCGCGCTGTGATTGGCTCAGAAGGTCGAGCGGGGTGGGGTCATGTTCAGAACTTCGGATTCAAATCAACATGATGGAGGGAGATGAATCCGTTTATTTTCGGACCATTTGTTTTTCTTTATAAAAAAAGTAAACGGAAGAGCGTCTGCGAGGCGTTTTTGCTTTTTGTTTTTTACCTTACTAAATGGTCTGAGGGGCGCGAAACTCGCGGAAGTGATTTCAAAACAAAGGCACTCGTTTGCTTGGAACGGTGATAATATTATAAACATGGTGGATTTTGCGATCACAATGAAAACTGCCAAGACACACATTGAGCCCAGATATATAAACCTATGTCTAAAATGGACAACATTGTTAGGAGATTTAAACTATACAGCGATTCTGCACTGCGGTCAACTCAGCCGTCTCTCGAGTTTGTTTTATCCTCAGATAGTGGTTTGTTTAAATAACTAGTGACATTTTAATAAGTATTGCAAAAAAGGGCTCCAAAAAAGGCATATATATATAACCTGGCCGGCTTAGCCAGTCTGTATTTCTTCAAGCACCACAAGATTCATAGTTTATAAAGTAAGTACACAGTAAAAGTACTTCATACTACTTGTGGGGGTAGTTTCACTAGTACTGAGTCCAACAGGATCAATCTCACGAAGAACTAATGGCAACAAAAAAGAATTCCCTCATCAAACTTAGCAGAAGTGGCTTGATTTCGTTCTCAGCAGGGGACTTTGACAGAGTATTTCTCAAAAGATACACAGTAAAAGTACTTAAATGTATTGTTAGTAGCAGTCAAACTAGTACCGAGTTCAACAGTGTCAGTTTTATTAAGAACTTGTGGTAAAAAATATTTGTATCACTCGTCAAATATAGCAGGGAAAAAAATGAAGAGCAGCTGATTTGAAAAACAAACTCGAGAGACGGCTGAGTTGACCGCAGTGCAGAATCGCTGTATAGTTTAAATCTCCTAACAATGTTGTCCATTTTAGACATAGACTTATTATATTTACAGCCCTTAATAACATTCATTTTCTGGGCTCAATATGTGTCTTGGCAGTTTTCGTTGTGATCGCTAAATTCACCTCGTTTATAATATTATCACCGTTCCAAGCAAACGAGTGCTTTTGTTTTGAAATCACTTCCGCTAGTTTCGCGAGTTTCGCGGCCCCCTCCCCCCTCGCTCCAATGACCATTAGACCATTTAGTAAGGTAAAAACACAAAAAGCAAAAAGGCCTCTCAGACGCTCTTCCGTTTACTTGTTTAATAAAGAAAAACAAATGGTCCGTAGATACACGGATTAATCTCCCTCCATCATGTTGATTTGAATCTGAAGTTCTGAACATGAGCCTGCCCCGCTCGACCTTCTGAACCAATCACAGTGCGATAATGACCTGCCTTCCGTTTCAACCATACTCCTTCCGTTTCCACTATACTTTCTCTCACACATACATGCATTCTAGTCAGGGGCGGACTGGCCATCGGGACGTTCGGGACGAATCCCGATGGGCCGGTACTGAAGTGGGCCGGTCGGACGATGTGGGCCGCTCGGATAAGTCACTAGCACCCGTCCCCCGTCCCCCGTCGATAATTTCCTCGCGGTATTTACTTGCGGCACCGAGGTGGGCCGCTCGGATAACTCACTAGCACCCCCCCCCCCGTTGATAATTTACCGAGGTGGGCCGGCGGTACCGAAGTGGGCCGGTTAAGAGTCCCGGGCTGATTTGTAGTCCCAGTCCGCCCCTGATTCTAGTGATGGGAATTCCAGCTCTTCTTGGTGAGCCGGATCATTTGGCTCGGCCCACCAAGACGAGCCGGCTCTTTCGGGTCCCAAACGGCTCTTCTGTTTACCTTTTATAATTCAATCAAATGTAGCCCTGTTTTGACTAATGATTAATATGTGTACACATATCACTTAAATTATTCAATACATCCTTTGTATTCAAAAGTAAAAATGACATGTTTAATATCAATTATTTGCTGCATGTGGCCAATTGTTTTCATTGCATTTACAGACCCTTGTAACTCTCTGATACCACCCAATGAATGCACTGACTTGCTTGTTGAACCACGCTACACAAAGCAGATAGCAACACCTATAAAAACTTAAGCATAGACATTTAAAAAAAGGGGCTACTGTATCGACATTTTAAAATTATATTTAAAGAAAAGGCCCTGACAAAACAGCAGGGCTCTATTTCAGTATTAACTATAGAAAAAAAGACAGCAACAGCTGACATCAAATCTTTGCTGAGCCCAAGGATAATCATAAATAAATAACATAGTGAAAATAAATATATTGCAATGCTCAGTACAGCAGCATCCAACCGTCTCTAATCATAAAAAAACATAATACAAATAAATGTATTGCAATGCTCAAAACAGCAGCATCCAACAGTCTCTAATCCTTGGATATTACATGCCACTGCATGCATGCACGGAGCAGCTGTAGCGCGGAGATCATCATATCATTCTGTCTTGTATTACTTAACAAAAACAAAAAAACGGCTCGTTCGCGGGCGCGAGCCGGCTCCCGTCGTTCACTTAAAAGAGCCGGCTCTTTGAGCCGGCTCGTTCGCGACCGACACATCACTAATGCATTCTTCTCTTGCATACATATTTTGTCTTCAGACATGCATATATTATTTATAATATTAAATGTAAACATTGAATGAATGTGCACAAGAGCAAATTGAATAAATATGAGCGTTAAAATATATGAATATGAGAGCAAAATGTATATGTGTGAGTGAAAAATGTATAAATATGTGAGTGACAATATATGAATGTGTGCATTGAAATATGATAATATGAGAGCAAAATGTATGAATGTGTGAGTGTAAATATATACGTGTGTGAGAGTGAAAATATATGTATGTAAAATGAGAATGTATGTGTGTAAGGGTGAAAATATATGTATGTAAAAGGAGAATGTATGTGTGTAAGAGTGAAAATATATGTATGTAAAAGGAGAATGTATGTGCGTGAAAGGACCAGTATGAATTACGGCCTGTACGGCCCCTCATACCGGTGGGAGTGTCTGGCGCGCGACCAACAACCAATCACATTAATCTCCCGCCCCGGACACACAAGCACACGGTTTGATTGGCTAGCGCTTGTACTGGCATATGATTTGATTGGCTGGCGCTTCCGTTGACACTTGAAAAGTTGAACTTTTCTCAACTTTCAGCGCGAGCAACGGAGGCAAAGTGAAGCAACGGAACCACAATGCAGTTCGGCAAAGGGAGACGTCTCCCCATTCAAAGTGAAAGTGGGTCTTTTTTGACCCCGTGAGGTGGTTTTCTTGAAGTATCTTTGTAATTAAAAATTGTTATCATTTCATATTCCAGCTATTCCTCAAAAAACATGTTTTGGATATCATGCCATTCAAATTTAAAATGTAAATGTTATACATTTTAAGAAATTGTAGTATTTGTATTTCTACCCCAAGCTTCCATAAGTGGGTCAAAAATGACCCGCATGCATTTTCTATGGGATCCTATGGGAACCTTTGATTCTTATCACCTGTGACAACGCCAATTTGTGGGGGAAACTTCTGAAGCAATTGGAAACAGGACTCAGAGAGACACGAGGAGAGCTGGAGCTTTGATGGCAAACACTGATGGTTTATTTGGAGTTACGGCCGGAGAATTGACAAGACAGGTGGTGTGTCACGAGTTGACACAACGGTTGCCAAACCAACTCTGAAGAACTCTTCTGCAGCTCGAGGTTTTAACTAGTTCGGAGTGTAATAATCAACATTCTTTATCAGCGAGACTAAACAATATGGACCCTGAATCTAACTAGAGCTCTCGTCCATAGGAAAGAATGTGCGCCAGGGAACCTACGTCCCTGAACAGTAAACTACCTCATGGCGGCTTGTGCTCTGTCATAGACTGGCAACAACAATGCGCCCAAGCTGCCCTTCCTATAGAGAGATAGCAGCAATACCCAAGGCCGTAGATCTATGCCATGGGAAAAGAGACAGTGAAGAGAGAAAACGATGAACTGGGTCGAAGGTTGAATATCTAAGTGAATTATTCCCTAACCATTAAGGCCGAAAGATGTGTTCCATGGTTGGTTGACTGAGATAATATTCCCTCAGAGTTTTCGTTGGCTTTTTCCAGAGCTTTCTCCACATTTCACTGTCTTCACTAGCAAATGGAGTTTGCTAGTGATAAAGGCCATGATATGTGAATTAAAGTATGGGAAAAAAGCTGGTGAGTGGAACTTTAGATAAGTATTATTAACAATATTTAAGACTTTTTTGTTGAAGCAACACATAGATGCATGAGGCAGTGCTGGACTTTCAAATGTGAATGTTCTATTTTACTGGTGGACGATGGCTTCTGGGAGGGAGAGCTGAACGGGCGGGTCGGGGTTTTCCCATCCTTGGTGGTAGAGCTGCTCCACGATGAAAGAGAGGAGGAGGATAAGGAGGAAGAGGTGAGACTACTGTGTTCTCTGTGGTCGCAGAGAATAGCTGAAACTCATCTGACAGTGTATATTTCATTTCTGACTGTCTCCCTCTTTATTCTCCTCCAGTCTCTCCTCACCCCAACCATGCCTCCCTTCTCCCCCTCCAGCCCGAGCCCCACTAACCCTGGCTGTAGCTCAGCCCTTAGTGCTACCCCCCCTAGCTGTGAGGAGGACACACAGCAGGTATTTGCAGACAACACAGCAGGTGAGTCAAACATTGGAACAGCTAGAGAACAGTTGTGTATTTTCCTCAGCTTCAATTCTGATTTCAGTTTTCCCTAAATGAATGGATGGTAAAGGTTGTCAGTGTCTTTTATCCGTCAGAGCCTGAAGGCAGCAGCCACAGCTCTCCAGACTTCTCCGGCGGCCGGCTAAGACCAGTATGCACCTGTAAAAAAGAGTTCTCCATATTTGCTGATTGTAATTGTAGAAATGGTGATAATCAACTCTTCCTCTCTTCCCTATTTACTGTTCTAGTGTCGAGCGCCTCCTCCTCCTCCAACACACAAGCGTTCTCCTCAGCCCTGAGACTGTGTGTTTACAGGAATACAGGACGTGTGAGGACCAGAAGAAATCTGTAATTGTGACTTTATTGTAGCATCTAACAAAAACTGTAATTTGTTTGTTTGTATTTGTGAGTATTTATCAGTGGTAAGGAACTTAAAGCAGGAAGACGTGTCACCTCAATGTGAGCAGCAACAATAAGCTGTTAGAAGTCTTGCTTTAAAAATGTAACTTAAAGGTGGGGTAGGTCATTTTGGAGAAACCAGCTCGAGTGCGCTAGAATTTGAAAATACACAGCCGGAAGAAATCTGCCACTTCCTTACAGAGCCCCTCCTCCAACACACACGAACGTGCACATGACCAATGAGGGCACGAGATAAGTTTGTGCACAGATGGAAGGCTGACAGGCAGGTAGGCCATCCAGTTATTTTAGCCGGGCCGGCTCAGATGATTGGTCGTGCTTTTTACAGTACTACGGCTTCCACAGATGACATTTTTTTATGGATTTTTTGTCAAAGCACTTCAGATATTCATTGCTATCGGGATGTTAAGAGCATTCCATGGAATATAACAAAAAGTGTATCTCGAGCCGGTTTCTCAAACGTACCTACCCTACCTTTAACATAACATAATAATTGTATTTTGGGTTAAATGAATTTATGCATTAATGTGTTCATTACTTTAATGTTACAGTCGGACAACAACATGTACTGCTTGTGAATTTTTACCAAAGGATCTATAATGTGTATCTTTATCTATATGAACAAGATGTATTATTTGTTGATTATATCTTGTATATGATCATTTTGTAAATAATAATTTGATCATTTGAATTTACATTTTCATAGTCCCTTAAGTTGTCAGGTTAATGTATTGCATTGAAAAGTAAAATATTTGATTTGTGTAGGAGTAGAATAATAAAGTACAGTACTTGAGTAAATGTTACCACTGCAAATATGTTCCCCAACAACCAATTTGACAGTGTTTTAACGCCAACATTTCAGTAGAATTATGTTTTCTTTTCAAAATAGGCCTATTTAGTAGATGGGAAGCAAAATAAATGAATATTAACATGAATGCACGTGCTAAAGGTCCAGGGGTCTGCAGCAAAGCCTTATGCAACAACATGAAAAAGTGCATTTCAAACTTTCAAAAATGATTCAACAATATTAGAAGTTGCTAATCTTTCTCAATGGTGCACTAATGATAGTATAGTTCTGAAAACATGTTGGGTACACAAATTACAGTTCAAATGATTTACAGTACAAGTTATAATCCACAAAACAGGGTAGTGTACAGTAGCATGAGAGTATATGTTATTATGTGACTGCAGGGGCATCCAAACATGAGATATAAGTATTATTTTGAATCTTATCAAATTGAACCATTTTGTTTTTGGCAACATTATTTTCAATATGTAGGACTGTTTTGTACTGGTTTTTAACATCATATATTTAATTAAAGTAATTGTGTTGTGCATTACACCAATGGTATGAGAGGAAGTGTGATCGTTGACTGAGCTCAACAAGGACACAGCGCTCAGGTTTGAAAAGCATAGTTCTGGTATTTATTTCGTTAGAGTACAATATGATACATCTGCATATTTACAAGTCATCACCAGCATGTGTAGAACACTGTACATATGTGCCAGGTCCTGCTAGAGAGGATACATTAAACATCATCAATCTGAGGATCTAACGTGAGAATAATATGTTTTGAGGCTGAGCTGTTGATATGAGGACTTCTGTAGCTGCTGGTCTGTGTAATGACTCACATTTCCACATTTTTGTAATTGTCTTTTTGTAATATTGTTTAAAAATCCTAGGGCCACAAAATGGCCAGCTGACCAAAATGTATTTTTGTGTGGTCCCATTGTTAAAACCATGTATATTTGCATGTGTTGACCTAAAGTTAAAATGAAGATCCAAGCAACTGATGGTACACGGTAAAGAAAAGCAACATAATCCACACATTAAGACTGCTGCTGGTGTGTGAAATCATGTCCTGCTCGACACTTCATTCTGTATATAGTTTCATAATAATATTTTAGCCACATTCGATCTCCGGTGTTTTACCGTAAAGCCTTCTGATCAAATTTGCTTTGTAAATTAACTAGCCTCTGAATCTAGATCTGTGTTGCACCATTCTCACATATTCATATATACATCATTTTATACAGTATTTGCAATAAAATGCACACAGAGGATGCATTTAGCCATTTTTTTATAGTGCATAGTTAAAAAACTAAAAAACATGGCCCTCTTTACACAGATTTATATTTAGTATGTTTCAACTAGATATGACATTGTATACATTATTTTCCTACAGGTTAATTAATGCATGAGCACTGTTGGAAAGATACACAACAGCTTGTCAGAATAGAATAAATATGTGGATGGTGACGCAGTTTAACTACATCTATGAAAGGTGATGGATGTGTGAGGTGTTGATGTTACATACATGAATAAATCATAAAAGCATCTTCATTTACTGCAGAGGCCTGGATAACGAGAATGTATATCCAACTTAATGGTATTTTAGACGTATTGGAAGGAGACATCCTGATCATATGTCAAAGGTCACATAGTCAAAGAGTAGATGGAAGATATGGACATTTGGACATACAGCAAGAGGAAAGCAGACGTCAGGCGTTCTGGTTAGTTTCCTATAAAGGACAGGTAAGAAGCCAAATGATGTTTAATTTACTATTTTATCCTCACAGATGTCCTGATGATTTCACTCATTCTACCAAAACAAAACAAATGTAATCAAGTTTGTAAAAACTGCAATTGCTCTTAAATGTTGCACTCTGAACCAAATATTTACATTATTGCTGCAAGCTAAATCATGGTCTGGTTACTGTAGTAGTCTTTATTTATGAAGTGAGTACAGGCAGCATGGATGTGTAATAAGAGCTGGATACACTGTTGTCACTCAGCCCTGCTTCCAATTTGGTGGAATGGCAATTTGCAGTATTAGAGAAAAATCCCCAAATGGCCTGACAAGTATTCTCCTGATGGACCACCAGGATAAAGAGACGCCTGTGAAAGTGTTGATAGGACACCTCGAAATGCCAACAACATTATGACACTTGCTTGTGTATTTTTCATCAACGAGAGTTTCCTACTTTTCTGAGCTAGAGAAAATATATTTCAAAAACCGTGATGTCAGTTGTGTGCAATGCTATGGGCCGAGCCAGATCTGGTGCACGTAACACTGCTACACGTATCAGTGGGTCTCACTTCCGTTATTTTTTCATTTCCTCTCTCCTCGGGCTCGGTATCACCGGAAGTTGATTTGTCTGCACCATCTTGAGTAGCATCCCAGTGGCCTTATTTTTGCCGGAGGACCGAGGATCGAGGATCGAGGAGTGATAACGGAGGAGCGATAATCGAGGAACTACCAGACCATCCTCCGGTGAAATACTCAGACACTCGCCCCGCCCCCTTACTGTGTATCGCTCACTGATTGGACGATGCAGCGCACACTGATCTGGCTGCTGTCAGACGATCAGCTGTGCGGTGTCATCACAAACGGACGTCGCTTCACGTGACGCTCCGGAGGAAAGGACGTCCCATTGCTCTTAAAACTCATTTCCCTGCTTCTCGTGGTTTCCTTGCGTCTCTCCATGCTTCCCTGGTGGGAGGGACTAGTCGCAGGGAAACGACGCAAGTGAGGGACGCAAGGATTCCATTTAACCGAAGTGAGATGCACCCAGTGTGTCACAATGCCAGGAAGTTAACCCTGAATCTAGGAAACTTTTCAGCGGTGAGAAATTCCAATCCATTTGAGTTGGCGCCACCTTTTGGTCAGGTATTAGTGATGGGAATTAAGGCTCTTTGAAGGGAGCCGGATCTTATGGCTCCGTTCCTTTCCGAGAGCCGTTCAAAAGAGCTGTTTTTTTTTAAGGGGGCGGGGTTAATAGGTTTATCTGCTAAATAATCACCATGATAATGATTGACTGTATTGTCAGAAATCTACTTTTACACACAGAAAAATGTATAACTTGCTACATCTCTCAGCCAGAAAAAAGAGGTGGTGCAGGCACGAAACATACTACCAATAGAAATACATTGCTTTTAAAATCGTTCTATGTGACACGAAAAAAAGGGGAAAATCGTGATGGTGAACACGAATCAATAGATTAAATGTCGTGACTATAACACGAAATGCCGTGAGACTGTTATTTCAGGTATGGGGCTCCCACACTGCTTTATAATAAGATCTTCAGCAAAGAGTACACAGTCTGTTGCTTCAATGGTAAAACAATTGTAAAACCGATCACACAATGACATTGTAACAAATAATCTTCACTGGATGTACTCATCTCAGAGTCCCATAATACTAGTTTGTGATTTGAGTGACTAGTATACGGGAAATGTGGTATATTTAGCATTGAAAATGCCTGATTACAATAGTAAAATAACGTACTATTAATATAGTGATATTGCTGGAGTGACTTTACTATATGGTCACTTCAATGACTGCTACGGTTTGTACATCAAATAATAAATATAATGGCAATCAAAAAATAAAATGAATTACTCTTGTTAACGACTCTAATGGAGCCATTATGTTAGCAAATCAATTAAACACCATACTGTAGCATGAATTCGTTTTTCCACCAGCCAAGGTGTAAGCCTGAGACATATTTAACATGTTGTCAAATGTAGGAAAACACCAACTGAACACAAAGCAAACTGAAAAAAGATATACAAAAAAAGATAGCATTTATGCTAACAGGCAACCCTTACCCTGCAATGCCCTCAAAATGCATTCTGTTTTAGTTTTAGATTAGATGACACTTTCATAAGATGTGTAAAACATGACAATTTATATCAAGCCCAGTAATTGACTTTTAGCTATATTGTGTCAGGGCTCTAAAAATGGCCATACAAGTCTGACTTTGACCAGACTTGAAATATCTTGAAAATATTACTTGGATTATTATTTACATTAATCTTTCAACTGATTTTCGTGAGCCTGTACATTTTCCTGTAGCTTAAAGGACAGCCAGCTGCATAGCTAACCAAATGTAACGGCAACTAGCAGGTACTTTAGCCAAAAGTTAAGGTATCTGTCCATCGCTCCATAAAGCACATCAGTACTCTTTTCTGTCTCCAAACTGTCTATAATATCTTAATTAAAATCCCAAACGGCTTCACTGGTGAAGTCTAGAGAATTACTCATGATTCAATTTATTTACAGTTTACTAATTCTAATTGTACCGCTTTAGTTGAGGTCAAGGAAAATATTAATGACCCATTTATATCAATCTAATGAAAGCCAATATCAAACCCAGCCAACCTAGCATTGTGATTTAATTAAAACATAAAGCCCTTAGTTCAATTTTGGTATGACAGGTTTATGGTGATGTTCTCCTGGGTGATGTGAAGTTGTCAACAAAGACATCTCAAACAATGGCAACTTTGCATTAAAAATAACATAGTCGACCAAAGGACTCCTTTATGTTCAGGTGGCAATCCAACCCCATTAAAAAAAGTGGTTTGGGGTGGAAAGGCTAACACATCCTTTAAATGTAGCAGTGGAAGAGTATCTGATGATTTTACATTAGTCAGTAAAGCAGTTATCTTATTCCTACATTCCGTCTTTATAGTGCACTGTGTGGGGCCACTATTTAGTTTGTTAATCACATCGATGAGCCTACATCTGTCAGTTACATTTGTACTAAATGTTCCCTATCTTCTCCAACTCGTCCTCTCCCCGCTCTGCTTCTTCCTCCTGCGATACTTTGCAGTCCCTAATATCTTCCATCTCCACCATATCTTCCTTCTCTTGGACCACCCTTGGCCTAACCTCTGCTACAGGGGTCTCTCTACTTTGACTTTCAGGTTGAACAACACCTGAAACAAAGACATCTCCCCCCTGACCAAAGGCTAGACTAATTATTGCTCTTTCTGATTCAATCCTTATTTCAGAAGTCTCTCCTTTCTGGTCTTTTATTAAGGTAGAGGATTCTACAGAAAACTCTCGGCTGCTGTCAGGGCTGGCTTTAACAACGGTCACACTACTTATTCTGCCCCCTACAGGTGAGGAGGGGGACAGAGTTGTGCTAGGTGACAGAGGCAAACTGCTCAGTCTGTCTTTAGAAAGCTGATCAGGTGGAGAGTAAAGGGCAGAACCTGGAGAATCGCCCTCGACTGGCGAGAGTTTAGCTGTTTTGAGAATCCCCACCCTCTGTAATTCTGTCTTTTCTTCAGTCGTTGGGGTTCTGGCTCCTTCCAGCACTTGTTCCTTTGGAGATAATGGGATAGAAAGCATATCCTGTTTGGTCAACGATGTTATGGACGTCAGACTTCCTGACTTTGAATTTGGACCCGGTGAACTTCTGGAGGACAGGTTTCCGTCGGCTGGAGTAGAAGAAGGGTTTTGTGGGGATACTGGAACGGTGTCAAGTCTGGGGCTACCAATCATAGCAGGTGAGGGAGTTCTGACTTGTAATGGACTAGCAATATTTCCAAAGGATGAAGATGGAACAGGTGATTGGCTAGTCATCGCTCGGCCTGATGGGAGTTTGGGGCTGGGAGTGAGGGCAGGGGAAAGAGTTGTTTTTGCAGCCTCTGGTGGAGTATTTCTTAAACTTAGTTTAGGGCTCGCTGTGACCACGGGTGAGATATGAGTTTTTAATGAAGTGTCTGAAGAGGGGGTCTTGATTGGGAACGAAGATGGAGAGGATGAACCTAAGCTTATTAAAACTTGGCTGGCACTCAATCCTGATTCCAGATCAGCACTGGAGCTTGGGTCCGTGGGAGTTTTGGTAACTGTAAAACCTGTGCTAGAACAGGGTTCAGGTCGAACGGTAAGAAGGACAGGAGTTAAACCCGGAATGCATCCATGCATGGGGGCAATTGGAGTAGAGGTCTGTAGAGGCCCAGGATCAAATGCATCTTCATTTTTTGACACCTTATACTTGGTCGTAGATGCTTGTCCAAAAGATGGAATGGCAAGAGAAGTGGGTGCAGAAGCTGATGTAATCCCAACGGAAGGCTTGATCACCAGGCTCGTATGAGGTTGAGGACTAGGCTCATGTTTAGAGCCATCCTCTGGACCAGACTTGGAGCCAGGGGACTGATCCTTAGCTTTGGAAGAGGGAGAATTAACAGAAGCTGAAGTTTTATTCTCATGTTGAGGTGAACCAGGCGTTTCATTCTTTAAGTTCTCTGCATCAAGTTTGATACCAGGTTTAGTACCACGCTCAGATGCGACTTCAATGTTCTCTGCCGGCAGAAGTTCCTCTAGAACTACAGGTTGCTGCTGAATAGCGAGTCTTACAGCTGCAGTGTCCCTGCCTGTCCCCTCTCTGACTTTAATGCCGCTGGGGTCGCTGCCACGCCTCAGCCCGAATATGCTAACACTCTTCTTGCGTTTCCCCACATTCGGAGCCACCCCGTTGGAGCTGTCAAACATGCTTCTCAGATTGTACACACCCTCCTTCCGCTCCTCGCTGTCCTGGGATTGGTCCAGCTGGTCTCCTGAACTGCCCAATGGATTAGGACCTCCATGGAGCTTCTTATCAGTGTGTATCACCCTGAACCTGAATAGATTATGATACATTCAGGATTATGAGTTTTGCTACCCCTTCCCAACATACACTAATTACAAAGGGGTTTAATTGTTACCTTCCAACAGAGAAGACAGTCTGCTCTCCAGGTCGTTGTTTAATACGGGGGGTTCGGCTTTGTTGCCGGCCCTTTTTAGATCGGACCTGAGCACACAGGTGGCAGGAGTTGTGGTCGGTGCCTGAGTGGACTGTGTGGTGATGGGGAGGAACACCACCAAGGGACTCCTTACGCAGCCTGAGCATAACAAATCAGATCAGTAATATGAGATATAAGATAAGAGTTATTTTGTTGATGTACATATACGTATTTATACACTCGCTTCTACATAACCATATTGTTTTCCACTGGACTAAGAGTGAAATCTGGAATAGGTGTTGGCAGTGTGTTCTCGGTCAGGGAGGTGGAGTTAGGACTTCAACAGCAATGGTCACACCAAGAGAATTGGTGCACTGGACTCTTGATAGTTTATAATACAATTGTGTCATATTTGTCTGGGCAGTCATTGGTCATTTTTATCATGAAAATTGTTCCTATTATAGTGGTATGAGTATTGTTTTGGATGTGTGTAGTCTAAAGCTAGAACTAAACTCCTCCTGGTTGAATGTAAGCCAACATTTGGGTCCCATTGAGAATAACACTTTGGCAATGTTAAAACATGTAAAGTACTTCAAATGCTTTACTTACTACTTACAGGGAAATCAGTGACATTATGAGTCTTTACAAAGAAAAGACAATGTTTACATTCATTTAGGGGATTCCAGAATTTGAGCAGCTAAATAAAAAAAAACATTTTTCCCTCTGACTCTGACATGCAGTAAACAGTAAATGTGTCACACTACTACAGACTGCTGGACCAGCTTACCTGGGGTCGTGGCGCACACACACATTCTGGTTTCCAAACATCTCATTGAAGGCTTCCATGTTAGCTAGAGGTGACAAAAGGAAAATACATATGAGGGTGGTACTGGCTTATTCCTGTCCCAGCTGGACTACTGTGATACCATTTATAGATTTGCCTGTCCCACTGTTTTGGCCAAACTTGACCCACTCTACCATGCTGCACTGCGTTATATATCAAATGCACCCTATAGGACTCATCATTGCACACTGTATAGCCTAACTGGATGGTCCTCACTTACTATGCGTAGGATGCAGCACTGGTTTTTATTAATGTATAAAGCCATTTTAGGAAAGCTTCCACTCTACATATGTGTCAGATTTGCTCCAGTTTGTGACTCTTACAAACTCAGATCCAGTGCCTGGATACGGTTCCAGGTTCCTACTGTACGGACTGAGGCTGGAAAAAGGAGTCTTTCTTATTATGGTCCTTGGTCTTGGAATGACCTTCAATCACGCCTTAAACTGAGGGCACTTGTCTCTATTTCATGTTTTAAATTGAAGTTGTCTGAAGTCCTCACCACCAGCTGCTCTTGCAGTAATACGTAGTGTACCTTTCTTACTGTCCTAATGTGCACAATGTAGTGACTGCTTTTTCGTCTTTTGTTTTCTTAGTTATGTTCTCTGTATTTTATATGTTTGTGTTATGTGTAACGTTGCTGCCTTCTTGGCCAGGTCAGCATTGAAAATGAGATTTTATCTCAATGCTTTTATCTGGTTAAATAAAGGTTAAATAAAAATAAAAACTTACGGTTAGAAAGATTTTCTAATGGAAACCTTTTTTATCTGAATGGAATTATATTGTAGAATAAATACATGATGCATTGAAGGGTTTACGGCAGTGAAAAAGAAGTAAAATAAATAGAACACGGTAAAGGAGAAGGATAAAGGACTAAAGAAAAGACTTATGTTGATTCTTTGGAACTTCAACAGAAATGAATCCAAAATACTATACAGAAGTTATTTAGTCACCTTCATTTTCAATAATGCATTTGAGGATCTGCTCCACAGTGTCCTGGTTCTCCTCATCATCTTCTGAAACACAGCAGAACAAGGAAAAGGATCAACTCTGCAGCTTTTAAATATTGCAGAACATATATATATCAAATGAACTGCTTGCAGTAGTGTGAAAAGGGCCAAGACTGAGTTGAAGTTCTTTCAGTTCGTCTATCAATGCTGCAGGAAGTGTACCAGCAATCTCACAACAAGGATTTGAGATAGAGCAATAGTATGTTTGTTACATTACTGCCACTGACGGAGATGAGTCAGATTCATGTTTTTTTCTTGATGTTAACACCAGGCCTTTGCTCAGTCCTGCGCATTAGAAAGTTGGCTTGGTCTGAGCCCTTCCATTCTGTCCATTCACAGAGCACGTGTATTAGTGTTTGGACTTATTTAGAGGTTCCATGTCTATTATCAACCCACCGTCTGCATTTATGCCGATCTTCTCCTCCTCCCCCTCTTCGTCATCCAATTCTCCGGTGCGGCAGCGGTAGCCCTTCTTCTTCAGGAGGTGGCAGACAAGGAAGCCAAACAGTCCGGTGAGGAAGAAGAGGAAGACCACCACAAAGATCATGTAGGGCGGGGGCTCATCCCCCCCTTCAGAGACTTCTAATTCAGTCATAACGCCGGTTTAACCTGAGACATGGAGAGACAGATAAGAATAATCATTTCTGCGTACTTTCAGCAATTTCAGTTTCAACTACTAAAGTGAAAACATGATGTTCAGCTAAGCGTGGGACAACTGGGACATTAGAGTAAAACACACATTTGTGAGACTGTACTTTGTTGAGCTGTGTGCTATACAATGTTTACCATGTTTTCCATCTTAGTTTAGTATGTTAGCATGCTAACATTTGCTAATTAGCGGTAAACACAAACTACAGCTGAGACTGATGGTGCAGGAGTATATTTGGTCATAAAGCAAAGTATAAATCCATCCATAATAATGGAGGCATTTCACTCAAAACCACATACCTCAAAGTGGAGCAAGAGTAAATATGATTTGTGTGTTATTAGCTTAATGCTATGTTGCTTGGCCCAGATAAAAAAACATGAGAAAGACAGCCACTTACATTATACAACATCCACATACTTTAATAATACCCACATATTACAGACACATTATATATATTATATATATATATATAATATATATATAAATATATATATGTTGTCTTACCAGATAAAAGCTATAATGACAGAGTAATCAGTAAGGAATCTAGTCAGTGTGAGGACATGCTGTCGCTTAATGTGTGGAGAGCTCTACAAGCTGAATAGGAGATACCTTACTTTGAGTATCACCCCCCACACCTAGGCTCGGTTTAGAGAGATAAACCAATCAAAAGGTACTGGCTTGGGGGTTGGTTTAAATCGCCTTATGTTGCAGAATGGTTAACATCAGGAGTCTGTCTAAAAAACTAAATTAGATAAAATGTGCCTTCTGGGAAATGTTCACAAACCAGATAGACCAGCCGTCATCAGCAGTTATTTGTCTCCTATCCTCTCTGCCAATGAGATTCTCAGCCAGTATACTGCCGTTCAGAAGACCTACAAATGATACTCTTTTCAACCATTCTGTCCTCGGTAAGTGCCTCTTACCAAATGTGTTTATTCTAGAACCTGTACAAATATTATCAAACCAGAGAAACATAATTCTGGGGCATGGAGTGAGACAGGAGTCCTGTCTGAGACCAACACAGTTTCTTATTTACATCAAAAAACAATCCACAGTCCTACGTCTCCTTAAGATTAACATTAAGTTCCTGCTCAACGCCAATTAAATAGTTCCAAATGTCAACAGAAGAGGGTTTACAATGACGTCATGGTAATCCAGAGGAGAGAAAAGTCTCAGTGAAATAGACACAACTGCACCCTGGGTAACACCGTGCCAGAACAGGGCTCCAACAAGGTGGTTCCAACCTGGCCATAAAACAAACTGTTATAAGGCTTGGGTAGCTTTGAATGCAAATAAAAGCGATTTGGAAATATTTCATGAATATCGCTCAACATCTACGATTCTCTTTCCAGGCCAATTTTGTTCCCTGTTTCAAAACAAGAATTTGAAAAAAAAGTCTGAAACAGCCTGATGCTTACAGTAATGCTTGCAGAACTATAGCTACCCGATAACAATTATCTTGCATGCAAAGCTCAACTGAGCAATCAGCAATCTCCAAGTGTACCCCCCCCCCCCCTTCTGGACCAGCTGATAATACGTTAAACACCTCAGTCAGAAGCCAGAGACGCCGTCCTCCATCATACCAGACTAAGCTATTGACAGACGTTTAAGCTTTATTTCTTTTTTATCTTCCACTTGTTTTCTTAGTCAGCTTAAAAAAATGAATAATTACATAAATAAAGAATATTTTTAAGCACAACAATGCAGATATACACACCCAGTATAGCATTATGCCTGATATTGCTGTGATGTTCTTACTTTAAATACCTTTTTGTTATGCAATTGCTATAGCTATAATCCCCTACAAATGCAGTACATTATAAAACACAGTAACCTAGCAGCATTATTCGTCTATCTTCCTGTATGGCTGATATTGAGGAATACTAAATATTTCTTACCATCTCCCTGCCGGTCACAGTGGAAACATCGGAACATGTAAAAGTCAGCATGATCAATGTGAAATATGTGTGTTGAATAAGAAACTAAAAGCAGCAGAGTGTGTGCCCCTCCTGCGTAGAAAGGGTTCCCCTAAGCCCCACCTACCTGTCTATCTACAGATGACGTGTGTGAGTACACACAAATGTACACAGACATTTAATAACAATATTTGCTCTAATTATAGGTACATAATAAATTATGTCCATCCATTTATGTATATGACCTGTTTATGTACTAAACATGACGTTTTAATAGTGCACATGCACAAACACGCACACACACAGTTAGAGCATGACTTAACATATAGCAGCTTATCTTGGTCCCCCCTACTACTGACTTATCAGGGTCGCGCACACACACACACACACACACACACACACACACACACACACACACACACACACAGAAAAAACTGAGATGTTGGGGTTAGGGTTAATATTAAATTGAACCTCTTTTTTTCATTTAAATTAATAGTATTGCTTTCAACAATCCTAACACAGTTATGTGTAATTTGTTGACATTATACATTTCATTAGAGTCAACATTTCAGTTTTTTCAGTGCACTGACAAACACATACACACACATGCACACACACTGGATTGTTAAGCATTGATATAATTTAGGATGGGATTAGCGCAACATTAAACACCTTCATATTTTAACTTCGTCATTTATCTATCCATCCGTCCGTCCATCCATCCGTCCGTCCATTGATCCGTCCGTTCATCCATCCATCTTTTATGACTGTAACAGGGCACCGTATATCTCACCTTGAGCAGGCGCCCCATGAACTCCAGAGAAACCTTCACTGCGTGTCCCCCTTCCCGTCTTGCTGTGCTGATCCTATCAGATAAAAGCAAAAAGACATAACCCTGTATTGAGTGAAGGAGAATAAGCTGTACCCAGCATGCCGTTCTGCAGTGTAGCAGATAATGTTTGAAGCAGAGTGTGTATCAGGGTACTTCTGTGTGCACTGTCAGTCACTGTGCTCAGGTATCACACCGTCTCTGTAGGACCAGATAGCTCTGGCTCTGTGCTTTAGTTTGTGTGTTCCAGTTGGGGATGTAGCTTGGGTTCTAGTCTGTTACAATTTGGTTGAATCTTGACCTGTTGTCAGGCTGGTAGCAGAGTGAGGGGATTCTTCTCTTTGCTCAGTTCCTGGCATTGCATTTCTTTGGCAATAGGAGTGGGGTCACTGTTTTTTAGTTTGAAGCAGGTATTTTATTTCTCTTAGTTTGATTTTGAGGTGTAATGGGATTTAGCCTTATTTAGTAGGCTTTAATTGTAGTTTTTTGTGCACCTACAAGATGTTTTGAAGGACTCTGAATCCATTATTTTGTCCAATCTGGCTGGAATTGGTTCTTTGGCAGATTTGAGTAATGTAAGCCAGCTTTTTATAAAAAATTGACAGTAAATGTGACTTTTTGTTTCATAGAATGCATGTTTCTGTTGTTTTTCTATTTTCTATGACTCAGAAAGTGTCCGTGGTGTCTTGTAAAAGGTTACAGCTGCACAAAAGTGCCGGAAAGAGGACAGCAGCTGTAGGCTTCCAGTAAAGTGCATTATTTGATCTTTATCTGAAGGCTGGTAAACGGCACTGTTTGGTCTAGCTGCAGGCACTGGTAAACAGCATATCAATTCATGTTTTACCCTTAATACAAGTTTATTTTTGACCCTTTTTCGTTATGTCAGCAGGTTTGACTGGAACACAACATCCCTTCTTGTTATATCAAATTAATGACCATGGATGTGATTTAATATAATAAAGCTACAGATGCAGGAAGAAACACAGGTCTGACACTGAGAGGAGATACGCATACACATTCTCTCTCTAACACACACAGCTTAAAGAGGCAGAGAGATGACTCAGCATAATCATGACCTCCACAGAATCATCTCTCAGTGACGTGTGTGTGTGTGTGTGTGTGTGTGTGTGTGTGTGTGTGTGTGTGTGTGTGTGTGTGTGTGTGTGTGTGTGTGTGTGTGTGCGCGCGCGCATGTGTGTGTGTGTCATACTTGATAACCCTCCTGATTTTCGCGGGAGGGTTGGCAAAATCAGATTTACTCACGACTGTTTTCACTCTGACTTTAATACAGCTACACCATTGTTTGGTTTCCATGGTAGCGCGTCTCTTTAGCAGCGCGCGCAACTCAAAGTCTGAGAGGGTGAGGAAGATAGTCACAGAAAACAGAACAAGAATCGACAACTCGACCCTCTGCTCACTCCTTTCCTGTAAAATACAGGTCCAGCCCACACATATGCTCCATGGTGCTACAGGCATTGCACTTACAACTACAATAAACATGTAAATGTTAATCTACAGCTCCGGCGATGCATCGATTTATGCACGGTCCCAGTACTACTCCTCCATCATCAACAACAGTACTGGAACTCCAAGCAACTCTTCTCCACCATAAACCACCTCCTCAAACCCCAAAGTCCTCTACACTCCGACTCCACTGAGAAGCAGTGTAGCAACTTCGCTGCCTTCTTCACAAACAAAGTTGACACCATCCGCTCCCTCCTCTCTAGCCCCTCTGCACCTCCAGTTCCAACTGCTGACCCACAGCCTGGGACAACCCAGCCTCTTCGCTGTTTCACGGACATCTCTCAGCGAGAGGTTGAGGGCATCATTAGGAGGATGAAGCCCTCCACCTGTGTCCTGGACCCCCTTCCGTCAGCTCTTGTGAAATCGTACATCTGTACCATGAGCCCCATGATCACTAAGATCGTAAACCTCTCTCTCCAGGCTGGCCATGTCCCCTCTGCCCTAAAAACCGCTGTCATCAAACCTCGTCTCAAAACACCCTCCCTTGACCCGGGAGTCCTGGCCAACTACAGACCCATTTCCAACCTTCCTTTTCTATCAAAGGTGCTGGAAAAACTAGTTGCTGCTCAGCTCCAGGACCACCTAAACTCCAACAACCTATTTGAGACGTTCCAGTCTGGTTTCCGCTCAGGCCACAGCACAGAAACTGCCCTGGTCAGGGTCACCAACGACCTGCTGATGACGGCTGATGCTGGCTCTCCCTCTCTCCTCATCCTCCTCGATCTCACTGCAGCTTTCGACACCGTCGATCACAGCATCCTCCTCCATCGTCTGCACTCCACCATCGGACTCTCTGACTGGTTCAGATCATACCTCACCGGGAGAACAGAGTACGTCTCCTTGGGCGAGGCAGAGTCGGGTACCCACAACGTCACCTGTGGTGTCCCTCAAGGATCAGTTCTCGGCCCCACCCTTTTCACACTCTACATGCTCCCCTTTGGCTCTATCATCAGCCGACATGGAGTATCATTCCATTGTTACGCTGATGACACCCAACTGTACCTCAGGATCAACCCAACTCCTCTGCAGCCCTGCCTTCACCCACACTCACTGCCTGCCTGGAGGAGATACAGGCGTGGATGAAGCAAAACTTCCTGAAACTCAACAGCTCCAAGACCGAAGCCATTATAGTTGGCACCCCACACCAGGTTCGGTCATCCACCATCACCACCATCACCTTCTCCGGCCAGGACATTACCCTCTCCTCAATAGTCACCAACCTGGGTGTTAAAATGGATGCCCATCTGACCTTTGAGGCCCACATTAAACAGCTGTGCAAGAACTCCTTTTATCACCTCAGGAATATCGCCAAACTCCGCCCCACACTCACTCTGACTCCGAAAAGCTGGTCCACGCCTTTGTCTCCTCCAGGCTGGACTACTGCAATGCACTCCTCATCGGAATCCCTAACAAAAGCATCCAGAAGCTCCAATACATTCAGAACAGCGATGCTAGGATCCTGATGAGGGTGCGCAAATATGATCACATCACCCCCATCCTTAAAGCACTACACTGGCTCCCCGTGGAACTGAGGATCGAATTCAAGATCTCCGTCCTCACCCACCAGTGTGTCCATGGAACTGCCCCTCCCTACCTCAAGGAACTCCTCACCCCCCATACCTCCTTGTGGACCACCCGCTCCAGCAACTCCAACTTCCTCAAACCCCCCAGGACTAAGCTCCGTACTATGGGAGACCGGGCCTTCTGCTCGGCTGCTCCCAGTCTGTGTAATGCTCTCCCCGACCACATGAGAGCACCACAGACCGTGGAGGCTTTTAAAAAAGGCCTCAAAACCCATCTCTTCAAAAGAGCCTTTGCCTAGACCTTTTTACCACCCTTTTATTTTATTTTATTTCTATTGTTTTTTTTTTGTATTGCTTTTTATTAATTTTACCGTGTTGTGTAATGTTTATTTATACTGTTCATGCTCACTGCTTGTAGCACTTCGGGATTTGAAATCAAATATGAAGTGCTTTATAAATGGAACCCATTATTATTATTTATTATCCACTAGCACCCGGAGTCTCCACCTGCAGACGCAGCCATCCTCATCAACTAACTACTGTAGCATCACCTTGGATACGAGTCCAAACAACTCACAGACTGCATTGGGCGCTGAAATTAGCGCCCTATGACCATCAGATCTGACGACGCTGATTGGCTGAAATTATGTTTCGGCGGCATAGTTTACAGATAGCAACAGTCAGCAATGTGTTAGCTGCTGCTGCACTGGCTGAGGGCTCCTGACACACCAGGCCGAAATCGGCCGTTTTCGTTAGTCGGACGACGAAGCGTGCCCTGTCGCCCAAACTCAATTTGGTGTGTCCCGCACCGTCGGCTGTGACACGCCTTATTTGGCCTTTCATGGCCGACGCACGACCGATTCAACATGTTGAATCGGCCGTGCGTCGGCCACAGGCAGTCGGACAAAGAAATCACTCTGATTGGCTGTTCAGCTACCGAATCAGTGCATGAGAAGCGAAACAGTTGCTTGAGAATGGCTTCCACAAGCAACACTCCAATGGCTGATAGCTCCAGTACCGCACGAAACATGTTTTCGATGGACGAGAGTGAAAATGGAACGCACACGCTATTTGTTGTTTGTTTAGATCACGCAGTCTGTTCTTCTTCTCTGTCTTCCGGTTGTTGTCTCTTTTGAATGACAAATACACACTACCGCCGCCTGCTGGTAAGGAGAG